GCATCATTTTCATAATTATTAAATTGTTTAAATCATTTAGTTTTATCATTTAAATTGTAGTTGAATATTTTTCTTATAAACAAAATCTTGTTTTGTTTATAAATAAGAACAAGAAACAAAATACTATTGTTTAATCTCAATACAGTAGAACACTGATTATCTAAGGTAATTTGGACCAATACTGCATTGGATAACTGAACACGCATCTAAATAAATGGCCACAGCCATTTTGGATTAAAAGTTACAAATATAAGATTTGTATGACACCACTTTTAAGCCTTTTTTTATTTTAGTGATTTCAATCATGTATAATAACAATTTTTACATCACTTATTATATAGCTGATGCAGTGGTGTACCCATGGGTGCCAAGGGGTCCTGACCTCTTCCAAAGAAAAAGAAACACAAACAATAGAAAATTTTCCAAAAATTTTTTTGTAATTAAAATTCATTTTTTATTTATATTTTGTGGTGTCTTCTATTTCTATACTAATAAATTAGTAGTATAGAAATAGAATGAATTAGTGGTTACATAAGATGGGAATTTTATTGAATTTTCAGTAAAATTTTTTTTTATCTGTTCAACTTGGCCCCAGGAGTAAAGTCTGAATATGCCACTGAACTGACGTGTACAATAGTTTTAAGAATAAAAATATGTATTATTGTAGTTATATTTTAATATGAATAACTTATTTCATATTGAAGTTAAATGTAAAAATTTGAAATAAATAAGTTTTTAATACATGTTATTGTTTTGAACTTTAACCTTTTATTTGCCAATGTTCTGTTATGGGAACAATTATACAATTTTTTTTACCTCTTTTTTTTTCTATTAGTTTTATTTTTTTTTCCTGTGATATTTTAATGTAGAAAGGTATTTTTACTAAAATTACTTGACTTGTGACTATGTTATTTAATTCGTTTTTGAAATGTTGAATATTGATGACAAAATTGATCTAATTAATAAAATAGTTCAAAATGCATTTCAGAATTTAAATTTCCTGTATTTATATAAATTTATACTTATATGTTATAACTATGGCTTGGATTTTTAAGACCTAAAAAATAGCAAAATAAGCAGGTATTAAAGCCCTAAAAATCTGAAAATATGATCTAAACAAGACCTAAAAATTTTGGAAGATAAGCATTAACTGTGGTTAATTCAGATTTCCTTTAATCTCATGCAGTGAGTTTCATACATGACATTATTAGACTTTATGATTGCACTGTATTACCATGTGCCTATGTAAATTTTCAATCTTGAAAGATTGATGGTTGTCTGCCAGTAGAACCTTGTATCTGCTGAACAATCTTTCCACATCACATGTTATGGGTGCATACTTGAAGAGGCTGATGTCACTTCTTGAGAGCTAGGTTCATCCTCTTCAAATATAGCTACTTTACTATTCAGTAAAACTGCATTTATCATAAACTACAAAAATCAACCACTCATACCTTTAAATGCAGTACAAATTTTACTTCTAATGTTTTTGGTCATTTTAAACACTCTTCCTCAGGATAAAAAACTGATTGCAATTTAGAAATAAGAAATATTTAATTTTAGATATAACCATTTCTTAAATGGTTTATCACAATGGTGGTGCCAACTGGGTATTAGTAAACATTGGGCTTTGGGGTGTTTATATATATATATACAGGTATCTCTCGTACAACAGAGGACTTCTAAAACTCGGTTTTGCTCTAACATGGTTCGAAAATTGGGGATATCCCTGTACAACACTACTACCAGTTTTGCTCTAACTTGGTTTTGGAAATCCTCTGTACAAAATTTCATAGTTTTTAAGTGTAAACTTTGTTAACATCTGCTACTTTACATCTGGTTAATATCAGAGAATAATAAACACTGCAAAATTCTAACAAACAAATTGTTTGCACTTTGTAATTTTCTCACTGGTTTGTTAGGTTTTTGCAGTGTTTATTATTGGGTAAATTTTGTTATTCAATATATATATTTTTTCAAGTAAGCATGCATGTTTGTCTCAAATTTACCCATGGATTTTAGAATATTGAAATTTTCAAATTATTTTGTGCTTTTTGCCAGGTTTACTTTAATGAAAACTGATAGGACAAGGAAGAAAAAAATTGTATTAAATTTACTATCAACCTGGTGTCATTGTCATTTCTTTCTGACTTTAGCCCTTAAGACTGTCACTGGGTTTTGTTTTTATAGATTAATCTTTGTATTTAGTATAATTTATGTAAACATTTTTAAGTAAGTGTTATTAAACTTGTTTTAACTGTAGGTATTAATTATCTATGAATGATTATTCATTTATCTATTTGATTATTCATTATTCTAAATGATTAACAAAATGCAGCAGTATTAAACACAAATTCAGAATTCGAACACAAATTCTGAAAAAAAGTCACCTGCTAGAACAAATTTTTGATTAATGACATATTTTTATTTTGTCATTCATAAATATTTTTTATGATAAAAAATATAACACATGAAAACATTACTGACACTTCTGATCAAGATCAACAAAAAAGCTGAGATGATGATGATACTTTGTGAAAAGAAAACTATCTTATTTAACTAAAATTAATATTAACACATAATACAGTACTTTTAGTTGTGATTGTTAATTAATTATTGATTGCTTTAATAAACATATTTTCCTTAAAATGAAAAAGAATAGTATACTTTTGCTAACATCTGGAATGTAACCCTATATTTTGTATTACTCCTTTGTTTTATATAGCATGGATTTGCATAACATGGCACTTTTTTGGATATAAGCTCTCCACACTATAGATTTGTTGAGACTTGGTGAAATATATTGGTCAGTTTTCTAATAAATGGACAGTCAAAAGTAGTGATTAATGACTAGAACTTGGAAGTCAAATGCAAAAGCTATAGTGAGCTGAGTGCTATAATGGGTGATTATAGGTGAGGACAAGAAAGTCATCCCTAATCAGCACTGTAAGTAACCATGGATGGTTAAATCTAAATTTAAATATGTTTGGAAGTGGAGGATTGGACAGAGGTTAGAATTCGTTTCTCTCAGAATATTCTAAATTATTTAATTAATATTAATTTAATTATAAATATTAAATTTAATAAGAGATGGCACCTAATGCTTCTCTCTAGTGACAAACTATTTGGTAATTAATTAAATATATTTGCAGAAAAGTAGCCCAATGTAATCTGGTGGTGGTTCTGCTTTATAAATTTAAAAAGTTAGTGCAACTATAAATAGTGATATATGAAATTAATACTGTTTTAAAATATGTTGTCAAAAATTTCTCTTTCACTATTTATATTTTAACAAATTTAATAAAAATTGATGACTTTTAAGTCATTAAGATTAAATCAATTTGACTTTGTATGTTATTAGTTTTCTTTTATTTCGTAATCGTTATAACCATATGTATGATTTTACTCTGATTTGTGTGTAGAATTAAGTGTGAAGAGTATTTAAAACTTTTAAACAAGGTAAATTTAAAGTTTATTATAATTTATATGTATCAATATTTAATTTTATGACTTGGTTTAAGATTGGAAAATATTAAATAATAAAATTTATTACATATAAATTACAGTATATTATATTTTATGTAGTGAAACCCAAAAATTAATTATTTGCTGTATTAATAATTGACAGAAAAAAGTATAAAATAGAAGTATGCCACCAAAAAAAAAGGAAGGAGAAGTGGATAAACCTCCTTTAATTGGGCGAATTGGAACTAATTTAAAAGTTGGAATTGTTGGATTACCAAATGTAGGGTAAGCATCCTATATTTCTATATTGAAATAATAATTCAGTTATTTGTCAAAATTTAAGGTTGTGTAATTTTCTTACAATTTATCACTTACATATGGAATTGCATATGAAAGTATATTATTTATGTTATTATTATGAAAGTTATTTATGTTAGATGATGATGATACTTTGTGAAAAGAAAACTATCTTATTTAACTAAAATTAATATTAACACATAATACAGTACTTTTAGTTGTGATTGTTAATTAATTATTGATTGCTTTAATAAACATATTTTCCTTAAAATGAAAAAGAATAGTATACTTTTGCTAACATCTGGAATGTAACCCTATATTTTGTATTACTCCTTTGTTTTATATAGCATGGATTTGCATAACATGGCACTTTTTTGGATATAAGCTCTCCACACTATAGATTTGTTGAGACTTGGTGAAATATATTGGTCAGTTTTCTAATAAATGGACAGTCAAAAGTAGTGATTAATGACTAGAACTTGGAAGTCAAATGCAAAAGCTATAGTGAGCTGAGTGCTATAATGGGTGATTATAGGTGAGGACAAGAAAGTCATCCCTAATCAGCACTGTAAGTAACCATGGATGGTTAAATCTAAATTTAAATATGTTTGGAAGTGGAGGATTGGACAGAGGTTAGAATTCGTTTCTCTCAGAATATTCTAAATTATTTAATTAATATTAATTTAATTATAAATATTAAATTTAATAAGAGATGGCACCTAATGCTTCTCTCTAGTGACAAACTATTTGGTAATTAATTAAATATATTTGCAGAAAAGTAGCCCAATGTAATCTGGTGGTGGTTCTGCTTTATAAATTTAAAAAGTTAGTGCAACTATAAATAGTGATATATGAAATTAATACTGTTTTAAAATATGTTGTCAAAAATTTCTCTTTCACTATTTATATTTTAACAAATTTAATAAAAATTGATGACTTTTAAGTCATTAAGATTAAATCAATTTGACTTTGTATGTTATTAGTTTTCTTTTATTTCGTAATCGTTATAACCATATGTATGATTTTACTCTGATTTGTGTGTAGAATTAAGTGTGAAGAGTATTTAAAACTTTTAAACAAGGTAAATTTAAAGTTTATTATAATTTATATGTATCAATATTTAATTTTATGACTTGGTTTAAGATTGGAAAATATTAAATAATAAAATTTATTACATATAAATTACAGTATATTATATTTTATGTAGTGAAACCCAAAAATTAATTATTTGCTGTATTAATAATTGACAGAAAAAAGTATAAAATAGAAGTATGCCACCAAAAAAAAAGGAAGGAGAAGTGGATAAACCTCCTTTAATTGGGCGAATTGGAACTAATTTAAAAGTTGGAATTGTTGGATTACCAAATGTAGGGTAAGCATCCTATATTTCTATATTGAAATAATAATTCAGTTAATTGTCAAAATTTAAGGTTGTGTAATTTTCTTACAATTTATCACTTACATATGGAATTGCATATGAAAGTATATTATTTATGTTATTATTATGAAAGTTATTTATGTTATTATTGATTATTTTTCAAAATTTTGATTTTGTGAAATAAAATGATTCATAAATATGACGTACTTGAACCTATAACCGATGTGAATCGAATAATTTTTCCACGACGAACGTTTTTATAACCCCTTCTGGGCTCTTCTTCAGGTGAAACAGCTGGATCGAACACCAAAAACGAAATTTGAAAAAATACGAATTCTGTCTAGTTTGAATCGTTTGGATCGTTCCTTATTTCGTCGTGTGATATGTTCGAACGTGATCGAAGTTAACGATGAACGTCCAAATTCAAGAGAAAAATATTATTATGATACTTAAAAACGTGCTATTGTGATACATAATTATTCAATACTGTTCTCACATGTTCTCCAGTACCTTCTATTTTTATTTTTTATTTTTTATCTTATTTTAATATTTAATAAATAGTATTTTGCTGTTCCTCTGTATGTAGTAGGTTTTGCCATGCCATGGAAAGGCCGATTTCATCTCTTGAATTAATACAAGTGGATGTGTCGTATGCTCTAAAAATTTCCATCTCCTCCAACCATTTTAGATGGTGCATGTGCGGTGTGGTGACGATTATCTGCGCTCTATTGAAGTCCGCCACTATTTCGGGATCAGTGGCGTAGGTGGAGAGTGAAGTTGTATGTCTGTTACATTGTACATCTGAGATGTGCTCTTTTATCCTAACCCCTAATGAACGTTTAGTCGATCCTACGTATACCAAATCCCTGTTAAACCGGTTATCTCTTAGAGGGATTGTATAGACTCCTGATAACTTCTCCACCCTGGATTGGTCCTTTTCATTGCGTAGGATATCGAACAAAGTGCTGCACCTTCTGTATGCTAGGGTAACTTTTCGTTCCTTTGCGATGGTGCTGTATAGAGACCTCAATAGTGGGTTGAACATGATAGGTATCCTCATATTTTCCGTAGTGTTGCTAGTGTTTTGCGTGATCACTGTAGTGTTGGAAGAAGCCTGTGGTTGTTTATGGCCCTCCGAGATTTTTTGTATAATATTTCGGTAACCATGGGACCTGGCAATGCCTTCCAAGTATTTTAACTCTTCCTCTAGCGCTAGTTGTGTAGAAGAGTGCGTAAAAGCTCATTTGACCAATGCCCTGAAGGCCGCCATCTTGTATTGGAAGGGATCACATGAGTTAAATGGCATGTATGCCGATAGACTAGACGGTTTGCGAAAAACAGATGTGCATATGATGGAATCTTCAAATTTTATATCTACATCCAGGAATATAAAATGATTCACACAATTATAAGGACTTGATTATCTGCTGAATTATCAAATTGATTGTTTTCAGTTTTTAATTTTTCTTTTTTACATTTAGATTACTTGGAATTTTTAATTCTAAGACTTTTCTAGTTCTATATACAGTTGAGTTCACTTAATAGAGCACAGGATAGTAGAATAGTCCATTTAAATGAGTATCATGTCAGTGACATTTTATATCAGAAGTTTGCATAAGGAGGTACTATTCTAAGGAAGATTTATAATGATCTATCATTAATCTAATAGTACATTCTTGTTCAGGACACAAAGTAACAGGCTCTCTACACTATAATACTTGTTGAGACTTGGTGAAATCTATTGGTCAGTTTTCTAATAAATGGATAGTCAAATAAGTGATTAATTAATTAATGACTAGAACTTGGAGTTCAAATGACCTTTAAAGGGCACTGCACTTATTTGTTTTTATGGTGTATGTCCTATTACGGACTAGTCAGAAATTTTGGAGCAAGAATGTTTGCATCTTTTCAGATAGATCTACTGTAGTTCTGAGAAGTGAAAATAAAGAAACTAGTAAATATACTGTATTCACTGCTATTTGATATAACAATAAAATTGATGATATAAGAATGGAAACCAACATGAAGGTACAATAAAATTATGTACTAATAAATTTTAACATTTTTGAATGTGACAAAGTTCCTAAGTCATGAAAAAGGGGAGAGAATTGAATACTATTAAAAACCTCTTAAAGATGATTTTGTTACTATGGATAAAAGAGTATGACTCAGAAATCCTGAGGATGCTCTTTTAAACAGACTTGACTACATTTTTCTCTAACAAGGTATATTTACTGTACAATATTTTAAATCTTCTATGTTAAGAAATTTTTAAGTTGTATTATTTCTTAAACATCTGATTAGAATGACAGTTTTTATGTTTAACTAAAAGTTCAATATACAGTGGTACCTCAGGATACGAAATTAATCCGTTCCGAAACTGAGATCGTATCATGAAAATGTCGTAAGGTGAATCAACTTTTCCCATACGATTACATGTTAAACCAAATAATTCGTTCCAACGCGAAAAACATACTCGAATTAAAGCCAAGTAATACATTTAAAAAAATAACTGTAGTAAGGAAAACAAATGAAAAATGCGAATTAATGTAACGTCGTATGGTGAATTTTTGTTCGTATCGTGGAGCAAAAATATGTTCGAATTTCATGTTGTATCCTGAAAATTTCGTATGCTGGGGCGTTCGTATCTTGAGGTACCACTGTACTTTCTTTACTGTTTAAAAAATTTACTTTTAAGCATTCTGAGCCTAATGACAATACTGCTGTCGAGAATTCACCACATCAAGAACTTTTCAAATTATATTTTTGTGATTTTTCTTATAATTGTTATTTAGATTAAAGTAATCAGTTAAGACATTCGGTTTGATGATGTGAATTTACTAATAAAAACTACATTTAATGAACAACTGTAATTTTTTAATTAAACATATACAAAATGTGTTTATCAGGAAAAGGATTTTAGAACACAAAATATTTAGAACAGTTTCAATTTAAATTCTCAGATGTCAATAAAAATTAATGGGACAACTAATTAACATCTTTTTTTATAAAAATGACAAATACATAACGAAAGATAAAGTATGAAAATTTCTACTCCACTCATAATCTAGTAAATTAATGAAATTAATACTAGATTTATAGTAAACTTTATAGTAAATTAATACCCATCAAACTGAATTTCTTAACTGATTTTACTGGTATGTCATCATTTTGCAATTAGATTTTTAAAAAATATCATTAATTTTTTTAACAGTTTATTACTTTAAAATATTTCACAAAATTATAAAACAAAAATTAATAAATTTCTTTTATAAATAAATTAAATTCAACATTTCTTAATAACAATAATATAAAAAGTATTTTAAATGACATTTTTTTTTATATTTTAAAAATTCACAGGAAAAAGTATTTTAAATAGTTTTAAAAGTCGTCTTGATCAAAAACATTTGTCTTTAAACATTGGTTTATAGTTAAACAATACTAGAAATAAAAAAGGCTCTAAGTGGATTGATGCTTTCAATAGTTTTAAAAGTTATTAGTAAATCTGAAAATGGCTGGTTGTAAGATAATTAGTTTATTTCTGAATATGATATTTTAAACTGAAACAAAGAAAAATGAATTACTTTTTTGAAACCTGTTTTAATTTTTTTGTTTAAACTTTATTTAAAACTGAATGAAAGAAATAATTTAAAATTTTAATTAACTGTTAAAAAATGCATTATAATTAGCATTCCTTATTAGGAAGGGGAAAATTGATAGGTTGTTCCCTACTGTAGTTACTAGATATTTTAATATCCCTGAGGCTAGCTAGCACCCATCATTCTTTTAAAATTTAGGAGGCCTCTAGTAGTGATGAAAAAACAAGATGTAAAATTGTTATCCATCCATTATACATCACTGAAACTTAGAGACAGATAAACATCTCAGATTTGAAAAATGAAAGAATAAACACTTTTTATTAAGTAAAAATTGTTAATTTATATTATATGAACATTTTATATACTAATAGAAATTAAAATGTACAAAGGATTTTAAATTGTTATTCTTATTTAATTTTAGATTTCTTTGTTTCATATTAGTAAATATATATCATAATTAGATATCTTTAAAGTTGGACTTATCTTGATTTGTAAATTTAACTTATCAAACATTATTAAATTTATATCCAGCTTAATTAGCAGCATTAAAATAACTAAGAAATTGCTTCAATATTTAGAAAACATTTTTTATTTAAAGCAAATAATTGTTTTGTTTGATATAAATTTACAAAAATTTATTGTGATATAATGAATATAAAAATATGTTAAAAAATGTAAGTGAGGTCATGTAAATTTGAAAGTTTTTTATTTGATAAAATGCTTTGTATTTATGTTTTTTAAGTTGTTGTTTTGATTTTTTAATAATGGATTTTTATAATTTAATTGTAGGGAATTATTTAACTTTAAAATTAAATGAATATTGAAGAAAGAAAGAAATAAATTAATGAATAAATTATAAAAGATATTCAAGTAATACATAGACATTTATTTTGAGAAATAGTAATTTTTTTTATTAGAAGTTTAATTAAGATATCATTTTAAATTGGATTATGAACTATTTTATATCTTAGAAAAGTTTATAATGTTATGAACTGACTTGACATTGTGATCATTACTGTTGGGTTTTTTTTGTGTGAGGGTTATTTAAATTATCAAGTTTCAATGAAAGAGTTTATAATAATATTATATATACTTATTATTGTTGAGAAATTATATATTCTTTATATATATATATATGTATATTGTATTTCCTTTCTAATTTTATTTCAATTTTTCATTATTGGAAAGATACTTCCTTACTTTTATTATTGTATGTATTATTTTATGCAAATAATAAAATTAAGAAATTAAGATAAATTAAAAAGGAAAAAAAGTGGTTTAATTGTGTATTAAACTGTGTTTGTGAGTGTATGATGTAAATTTCTATGTATTCCTATGTCTACAAACTTATACATACATACTGATGTATTGTATTTTGTCCTGGCATCATGTATC